TCGAGCACAAGGACTTTGAGCAGAATCTGCAGAGACTGGCACCTGATTATGAGCAAGCGCAGCAGACCTTCAGGGGAATAACACTGAAGACACCAGCCATGAGGAATAGGCTGGACGACGTCATGACTAAGTGGAATCACTTGTGGAATCTCAGTAATCTGTACATTGAGAGACTCAAGTGTGTGGAGATTGTGCTGTCTGGATTGGAGGAGAATACTGCGACTATCTCTGAGTTTGAGATTAAACTCGCCTCGTACTCTGAGCTGCCTTCTGATGTCAAAGGACTTCAGATCGTTCTGGAGGATCTCATGGTTCTGCAGAATGCCATTGGACAGCAGCAGATTGCCATGGACCAGCTCAATGATGATGCGCATAATGCTAGGAGGCTTGTGGAGAAATCTAGACCCAATCATCGTGGCCCTCACAGCGATATGGATCGTCTCGATGCTGAGGTCAGCAGGTTGAACTCGAGGTGGACGAACATTTGTGGACAGGTGGTGGATAGGATGAGGAGTGCTGAAGCTGCTTATGCTCTTGCTCAGAAGTATCACACTTCTTATCAGAGTGAAGTCGACTTTGTTGATGATAGCTATAAGAAGCTGGAGGCTACTTCACCGGTGCTCAATAAGGCACATGAGCTTGAGACAACGAAGGTTAGTGCTTTAAATTATTTTACTTAGTAATTGCTTCTTTTATTTGATTTATTTATTTTATTTTGAATTATTCCACTTTTGTGGAATTTCACATTTATCAAGTAGAAATTCAAAAAAAACATTGAAAATTTTTATTGTTTTAATTTTTGTTAAAAAAAGATTTTTTTTTTCATTCAAACATGGAAGAAAGAAACTTAATTTGGCTGTAATTCAATTTCCGGAATATGATATTTTTATCTTGAAAATTATACGATTAGTAAAAGCAATGAAAAATAGGATACATATTTCAACTTTTAAAAACTTAAAAAACACAAATTCTTATATTTTTCAATTACTTTTTGCATTATTCTAGTACACATTTATTTCTTTAAACTGCTTCATTCATTTTATGTTTTGCCACAAAGACAAATGATTAAGAAAGAATTTGAAAAAAATTTATGAATCCTATTTGCCTGCAGAATCTATTGAACAGAGTATGTGATCGTGCACCAACAGTGGAAGCTGTCAACGTCACTGGAGGCAGATTGATACGCGAGGGCAAGGTAAGATTCATTGAAATAGCAATTTGCAAAGCAGTACAAATAGCCACGAAGCCTATGGGAGTGAATGCCTGGATGAATGAGAATTGCGACTATTTACTAGATTTAAGTAGATCTACATTGTACATCACCATTGGTATCAGAATCATCTGTAAATTGTTCTTCAGCCTCTTCCTTTCAGCGAACAACGATAAAGATGTACTGTCGTTGTTGATTAACGTATCGACTTCTCCGCACGGTCGTACGCACTACAAAACTATGGCAATATGTGAATTCTATGAGTTTTGTTGTATATTTTCTTTCTTGTGGACACTCAGGTTTGGCTTTTTTATCTGCTGCTTTCAGTTTCTAATTATTGAAGGGTCTTACTACCGTTCACTCACGATTATTAATGTATATTATCATATTTTTTACTGATTACTCTTCTAAAATGAATAGCATGGTTGAATGGTGCTTGGGTTGGGTGATGGAATAAATGGATTTTTGGTAGCAGGCGGTAAATTCTTGTAGATTAATTAATCAGAGAACCAGTAGATCATCTCAGTGTGGTACAATAACTTAGAATTTACATTTGGATTACATTTTGATCTTTCAAAATTAAAAGCAATCGCTAATTCAATACACATAATTATTTATTAAGACAGTTTGCAAAATTTTTATGCTAAAATTACATAATGTTTATTAATTTATGCTAAGGTTATTATTACCACACTGTTCCTAGTAATAAGTAGAAAATGATGTGCGAAAAAATTTCACAGAATCACTTGACGAATTCGATGGAAAATTTTATTGGAAATTCCATTAGTTTTTGGCCGGTTCTGTTGGAAAATTTCGCAGCTTTATTGTGAGTTTTTCCATGGAAAATGTCCAATGGAAAATATTTCATTGAAATTTACTCTAGGAATTTCTCGACATGAATTTTCCAAGTTTTTTCCACTTTATTGCTTCTCTTTTCATTAAAAAAAGAAGAGAAACTTCAGAAAATTTCTATAGAAAATATCTATAGGAATTTCTACAGAAAAAAACAATAGAAAATTCGATAGAAATCCAATAGAATTTTCTAGCGAATTTGCTAGATTTTTCTATGAAAATTTTTCGTACATGATGTATTAGAAATGTAGAATCCTAGCTGTTGTTGTCGCTTCTCCGCCAAAAAACTATAAAGAGTAGTGATTATTAGAGATCCTAATGTACTAACCATAACGGACTAACCGGCCTCCATAGATTTATGGCCAGAGGTTGAGATCCTTCAAGGAACAGCTCGAAGAACTCTGCCCATCACTGGATGCATCCGTTAAACGACCGAGACGCGAGTCCGTCACAACGGTGGACAGCATTGCACACGATCTCGATAATCTCAACAGGAGATACACAACACTCGTCAGCCTCTGCCAAGAGCGTGTTCAAAAACTTGCGCAGCAGTATCCGGATGATATGGCATTGCAGGTGAGTTTGTTTCATATTGTTTGTAGGGTTTGGCATAATTACCAACCATCTCAATACCTTTGAAACATTAATAATAAAAAATCCTTGTAAAGGCAATTATTCCAGACCATCTCAGGCACAAAATCCGCAAAAAAACGTTGTAAATACCGGCAGTACCCAAATAGCTTGAACAACCCCCAAAACCTAAACTACCTAGTAAAATTGGGTAAATCGTAGTACTAAAAGCTCTCGATAACGATCATCTCCCCAAAAAGTTGTACAAATCACGCAACTCCACACTCTATCGAAACAATCATTAGTTACATCTCAAAGGACCTCTTCAACTGTAACCTTCGCAGCCCGTAACTCCTGTAGCACCATTCAAATTATCTGTAAATTTGCACAATACAAAAACAACACAGTGAGTGTTTATGCGCTCCTTGAGAACCGGTTTCGTCTGCCACCCGAATTAATTTGCTTTCGCACTGCGAATAGTCGCGCTTCTAAACGTGAAAAAAAAAATGGGCTAGGAGGGGAAAAAATTCATATGCTCAATGCCAGTCGCAGCGGCGATAACTCCCACATGACATCACTGAAATTTCTGAATAGTGAGTGACGCCATTTAATTCAACCGCCCCAACGTATTCCAGTTGATTATGTATCTTTGATATTCCTTAAAGACTTGCTAACCGAACGATGAAACTGTGTCATTATAAATCAAGCGAAGGATTAATGCAGGTTTTTTATTCCACATGCGTTTAAGGTCTATCGTTTTGCCATTACCGCGACGATAATAACATGTGTAGGAATCGGAAAATAATCATGCATCGACGAGATTGATAAGGGCTAATCATGAGGGAAAATTGTACGGATCTTAATCGGGGAATTGTTCGATTATTCCTTGGTTTATCCTCTGCACAAATTGTGGTGGAGTATCAATAATTGTGGTGCAGCTAACTGGCGCAGCTGCTGTTGCACGCGCGTGGGCAGGTGTCCTTGCTATTTTTTCTTTTCGCTCAGGTTTTTTTATCTCTCCTGCCATAAATGTCTTCCTCAGAGTGGGTTCGACGGTGTTTACCTGATATCAGTCGAGAGATCAGGATTGCGAATAGAAAAAGAGTTTGATTGATCTGCACTGTCGGAAACAAATTGAAATTTCAGGGACAGTTTTGTTGCGATTTTCAGGGGAGTGGGGTTTAATTCGACGAAGGGGACATGATTATGAAATTTCAGATTGCACTGGTAATTCAAGGAAATTCCAAGTCTTTTGACGGCAGACAGACGAGAATTACGAAACTTGAATTTTCGATGAGAACGTGAATATTTAGTAACAAATTACGCTGAAAATTTAATTAATTGATGATTTGAGAGTAGTTTTACCTGAATATTTGTCATTCCTATTAATTTTACTTAATGGTTTAACTAAAATTTACAGTTTCTACAGATTTTTCCAAAAAATTGGCAATTTTTAAGCCCAAATTCCTCGAAATTTCAGTGGAACCATGTGATAAAAATGTCTCAAAAGCGCGCGTGAAATTTCAGCCAAAAATTTCCAACCCCCATAGACTAAAAATCGAAATCAAGATAATAAAGAGGTTTGACATCGTAATGCACAATTATTCATGTAATTAGGTCCCCGTAAATATTCAATCTTCTCCTCGAATCTACCAGCTGCTAAGAAACAGTAATCACCTCAATTAGTTACGTTCATAACTCATTGACACATTTCTTTGTAATCTTATCGATAGCCTCTGCGCATAAAAACGTCGCTAGTATTTATTAACGAATGTTCAAGATATTTCGATTGCCTCTGATCTCGCCGCTCCCTACGTTTACATTATTCCTGAATTTTTAATCATCCTCTCCAAGATGATTACAGATTCAGGGCTTTGATGACAATTCAAAAATAGTTAAGACGTTCAAGGTCAAGTGACATGCGACACAGGCGACTTGTAGTGAACACCCGAAACTACGTTTCATTGATGAAACCGAGGAAATCCCTCTGTTATTCTTTTTAAAAAAAGAAAAAAAAACTTGAAGTCTGTGGATAGTCTAGCATCGCGATCGTTGTCGGGCCACTTCAGTATCCCGTGCGACGTCGTAGTGCTAACATCGTCGGCTCGATTGCGTCAAAGGCGTTTCCTCAAATCACATGTTTCAAGCTTCTCGACTATTCCATTAACTATTATTTTTTTTATTTACGTATGACTGTGGAATTATGGAGGCATACGATAGTTGCGATGTTTGAATGGAACCAGGGAAAATCGATTTTCACGGTGCACACGTCGACGTGGCGACTGAGAGTGCCTTTTATTGATACCTATTCGTACTATTTATCGTGGCTTAGTGCCATACGGTGAGTCTTTCGTGGACTGCACAGTGTTAGTTCTCCAATTTTTCCTCTGAAGTTGGATTTTTAAAGGGATTATGTTGCCGCAGAGGAGAATAGTGCGGAAGGTAATGCTTCGTTTGTGATTCTGGATGATTTTTTTTATTGTTGCGGAGTACCTCAAATATTTTCGTTGTTATCAGTTCCGATAAGGCACTTATCGGGGTTATTAGGTGATAATGAAGGGAAGGAATTCGATTGTGGTGTTGTTTGGCCTGATTAACTTCTTTTTAATTGCCTAATATGGTTGGAAAATATTGAAATTTCGAATTTCATTGCAAGGAATTTCCCAAATTATTTGAATTTTCAATCAAAACATAGATATTTCGTATGAAATCACGCTGAATTAGTGAATTGACAATTTGGGAATGTACTCACCTAAAATTTCTTGATATTTATTCATTTTTATGATGTACTTAAACTGAAATTCACAGTTTCCATAAATTTTTCCATAAAATTGTAAGTTTTCAATTATGAAAATGCTTGGAATTTGAGTGGAACTGTCACTTGATAAACAATTTCAATCAAAACGTGAATATTTAGTACCAAATTATGCTGAATTGCAGTGAATTGACAATTGGAGAATATATTCACTTGAATTTCCCTGATTTCTATCAATTTTTATAATATAAATGAACAGAAATTTACGGTTTTTATTGACTTTTTCACAAAGTTGTGGTTTCCATTACGAAATTTTTTGAAATGTCAGTGGAAATGTCATTTGATGAGTAATCCCAATCGAAATATGAATATTTAGGACCAAATTATACCGAATCTGCAGTTAATTGAAAATTCAAAAATATTCACCAGAATTTTTCTGATTTCTATTAATTTTCATGGAGGAATTAAGCTGAAATTTACAATTTCCATTAATTTGTCCCAAAATTGTGACACTTCCTTTACGAAATTCCTTGAAATGTCACTTGATGAGCAAATGGGAATCAAAATATAAATATTTAATAACAAATTATACTGATTCTTTAATTAATTCAAAATTCAAAAATATATTCACCTGATACTTCTTGATTTCTGTAAATTTCGTGGAATACTTAAACAAAAATTTGCAGTTACCACAATTTTGTTCATAGAACTGTGAGCTTTCCGTTACAAAATTCATCGAAATTTCAGTGGAACTGTCATTTGCTAAAAATTTCCAAGTAGTCCTCCACTAATTTCAGACAAAAATTTCTAACAGCAAAGCCCAGAGTAATTCCATTTGATCTGAGTAGAAACACGTGTGGATTGACAGCTATCTCGGCTAATAGTGTAGCGGCTCTTGACCCGGGGTACATTATTTTTAAAAAATACGCGATATGGGGTTCTCAAAATAGCCGAGATGATTCATTGAAGCACGTGCTTTATCGCGAATTGAATTCCCCTGTACATGGGTTTGAACTCCATCTCTGTGCAAAATCAATTTTCAGTCACGTAGTATGAGAAATTATTTCCACTTTTTTTTATCCAATGCAAGTTACAATTTATACAATGTCTGGAGGTTGATCGAAATCGAAAAGCGGAAGTCCCCGACGAATTTCAGAGGCAGATTTACACGCGAATTCCCGAAGGATTAATCATCCCGAAATTAAGATTCGTGAGACGATTTAATAATTATTTTCGTAAAGTAGGTAAACGAGAGGTTTAAATAGTATTCACACGATTTTCGCAACACCTGTCGACCATCCAAATAGCGATTACGTAAGCCATTCCTAGTCAAGTTCACGGCGCGGTGGAGGTTGCAGAGCGTGATGTCATCGGTCATTTTCAAGCCAAAAAAATATGAAGTCACCCGAGAGTTTCTTATTAGCTGTTTAATCATAAATGATGTGAGCTTCGTTACAGGAATTTTATGTCAAGGTTGACATGAATACTCTGAGGATGTGACGATACATAAAACAATTTCCTATAATTCACATCAAAACCTCACAATTATGTGCAATTTTTCCGCATAAAATCAGCATCCGGTCCATGTTTAAAGAACTTCTGTTAAAAAATTTCGTCAAAACAACTTGATGTTTAAAAAATTTGAACAACTGGAACTTTGAAAAACTTGAAAAAAACTTTTAAAAACTCCCGGAAAATAATGCAAAAAATTGAGCGTTAATAACGCTTTAATACCCACGAACGAAAATAACGAAACGAAAAAAAAGCACAATATTAAATTCGCAAATCGTATCCAGAGTAAAAAAACATCGAGTTTTGATAACGAGTGATTTGACACAAATTCATAAGCATGAGAAAATGAATAACACAACTATTAATATCCACAACACAACAGAATATAACAAATGATCAATTATTTAAAGCACAACATTCGAAGCAATTCCTCAAATACTTCAGAGTACTTTTGACCTAAAAAGATTGAATTACTCAAAAATTCACTTTTCCAAAGTTGATTTAACCATATTTTTTTGACGAAGTTTTTCTGAAGAAAGTCGTTTTGACGAAGTTTGTTAGACGTGCTCCCAATTGATTCACAATTCTGGATTCAAATAAACCCGATCACAGCAGGACGCGTATTCGACAACGCTCAGACATGCTCTAAAAATATGAATCGTCTCCGGTGCCTTGGGAAGTGCAACTCCCCCGTCCTGTCAGTCTCCCTCGCACCTCTCCAACACCAAAAACAAATTATTTATAGACAACTCTTTTTTTCTATTACGCTCTTTGTAATGAATCGCATCGTCAGGAAGTTCCCAGTCTCACGATTGCACGCGTCGGACCGTTAACAAAATCCGCCTTCCGTTGGGTCATGCATCACCGGTCAACTTTTCATCCATCAAAAATCTGAGCAATTCCTCCGTGGCAGTTCACTATCCACTTCTTCCAACAGTGTATCGTATTTTATTGTCAAGTTGGCATATCGTCGCGCCGTTATACTCTTATTTTGTCGTCGTAAGCACTTACTATGACGGCAGTTAGACGAATGCCGCGTTGCTACCTGTAGCGCACACTAGTTCTCATTGTAGTGTAGTCTGTCGTGATGTGACAGTCCGGTTTACCCAAGTGTTTGCGGTTCAAGGTTTAAAATCCACGTGCCAATTATGTGCTCCCATTTTTTTCCAATACACACGTTTTGATAAGGATTCCAGTAGCGACACTACCGCGATATCCCATCGGATTTAATACATTCCAAGTATCAATGAAGTAGAAATGATTTTAGTGAAGCCTAAACCGTTGAAAACAAGAAAAGATGATCGTGATAAAATGTAAATCGTTATCACGAGAGCCAGAAGACAGTTCGCGATGTGTCTCTGAGAATATAAAAAGGGTAAAAGCATGTTAACAGTAACGTATCTCCTGTCGTTGCTGTTTCAGCGCGCTCTACAAGAGCAACGACCACTGCGTACATTTCGTACCGAGTTTAACATCTACGAAAGTACAACCAGCGAGGAACGCTACACCTCCACTACCACCCACTTCACCCAATCGCAGTAAGTAATCGCATTCCGTTTGAACAGCAAATTAAAAATTTGTAGAATTATTTCACGTGTGGAAATTTCGCCCCGGGTCTAAATCAGTTGTAGATCATAGTCTGAATTTCTTGATTAGACTTTCGAATCAGGATTTAATGAGATTCTCAACTGGTGGAGCGAATTCCAATCCTATTATGATTAGTTGGATCAGGTTTAATCAGAGGATTGGAAAGATCAGATTGAAACAAGCGTTACATTTCATAGATGTATTTTTTCCAGGAACATGTCACTGATCGAACTTTACTATACTAGAATAACCCTGAACACTAGTGATTTCCACTCCTGAAATTTGGCGATAGATTTTTAAGTATTAGATTAGAGATGGATCCCGAGAAATCAGTGACATTTTCCTGAAAATGAAAGCTTGCTTCTTCACGTTCTCCTTCAAAACTGATCAGTCCCTTATTCTACCCTGATTTGAGTTTCTACTCGAGTTAAACACCCGTAGAGCTGTCCCAAATAGCTTAGTTCAGCAAAGAATGCTTTAGAGTATAGAAAACCGTTGAAATTGATTCAGGTACTCAACGGAACGCCATGAGACGTCAGCGACGATCTCAAGTGAAATACAGCGTATGTCCTCGAGGGAATCGTCACCCCTCAAGAGGCCCTATGGTACAAACCACAGTGGTCATCTTACCGCGAATGGCGATGGTCCCGTACAAACGGAGATCGATGGTTGTCACCTTGAGAAAAATAGCAGTATGCAGTTTAGAGAGATAAGAAGTCTAAAGAAAATAAACAGATCAGAGAACACTAGCGATAGAGACAACATAATAGAGGATAGGGGTATCGTACATCCTGTGACGGGTGAGGTACTTACCGTTGGCGAAGCGATAAGCCTTAGGATACTTGACGTTAGGAACGGTAGAATTGCTACGTCTCTCGATGGAAAAACGAGTGTCTCGATCGAGGAGGCTGCGCGGTTAAATCTCATTGACGTTGATCTTGCCCATCGCTTGTTAGGACCATGCGGCGTCATCGAGAATGGCCGAAGGTTATCACTGCTAGCAGCTATTCAACGGGAATTATTTGATGCTGAACGTGGCGATGATAGAGTCAAGGTAACTTGTGTATCAACTGGTGTTAGCGTTGCAGATGCGATGAAACAGGGATTACTTGATCCAGAGACGGGACTATTTGTTAATGAGAAAGGGGAGAGAATGACTATTGAGGAGGCTTACAATCGTGGATATCTCGTGAGACTAAATACAACTGTTAAGATAAAACGTGGGGCCCTTGCACTTTCTGATGCCATTGCCCAGGGATTAGTTGATGAACGTACGGGTCAGATTATTGATAGAAATACTGGTGAGAGTTACTTGCTTGACGAGGCCATTCAGAGAGGTGTCATTGATCCTGATGTTAGAGAAGTTGTTGATGCTAAGAATGACGTTAAAATTACTATTGCTGATGCTATGAGTCTGGGGATTATTAATCCTAAGAGTGGGAGATATATTCATGGAATAACAATGGAAAAACTGTCGTTCAGAGAGGCTAGGAGACGGCAACTTATCGTTAAACCAATGACGCTCAAAGATTGTTGTGATTTGGAGATTATTGATGATAGAGGGAAAATTTCAAGTCCCGCACACAAGTATAAGCTGGGAATTCTAGAAGCTGTTACAGCTGGGGTTCTAGATTCTGATACAGTTAAATCGGTTTCTGACACAAGAACTGGTGAATTACTGACACTGTCTGATGCATTAGCGAGTGGTATTATCATTGCGAATAGTAGGTACAGAAATCCGAAGAATGACGAGGAGCTCTCGATTCCTGAAGCTGTTGATAGAGGACTGATAACGTCGGTAGCGCAGAAATCAATATTCGATATTGATGGATTCAAAGACCCAGTTTCGGGTGAATTCATCAGTCTTAATACAGCTTTGCTGAAAGGCTTGATTAGTCCGAAATCGGGGGGTTCGGTTGTCGTAGACTTGGTGACAGGGAGGACAGTTTCCTTTGGCGAAGCTACAGAGTTAGGTCACGCTCGTCCAGAAGTCATGGAGATGTTGAACAGAGGTATAGGGGTTACGGAAAATGGTCGGGAAGTTAGTGTACTAGAGGCAGTGTTGTTGAATTTGTTGGATCCTAAATCAGGACAGTTGTTAGATCCAAGAACGGGGAAGCCAGTGCCTTTGGAGGAAGCGATAAGACGAGGCTTGATAACACCTGATGGTGCTGCACTTCTTGCTAGTCTTCTGAATATTACGGTTACAACTCAGACTGTTACCAAGACAATAAAGAAATACGTGACTGTGACGGAGACTGGTGAGACAATATCGAGGGACTACAAAATTTCGTACAGGGAAGCTGTAGACAGGGGTTTGATTGACGAAAGAACTGGCGAGTTCACGGATCCAGATAGTGGTAGGCGAATTGATGTTAAGAATGCTATTGACGAGCGTCTGTTGAGTGCCCCCGATGTCAGGGAGGTCGAGAGACCCTCCCCCAAGAAAACTAAGGACTCTCCTTCTAAACAGATGACCTTTGAGAGCACTCTGTACGCCAGGGTTGGCGATGAGCCAATCCAGCGGCCTTCCTCACCTCCCAGGGCAATTGGAACTACAACTACTATTATTAGTCATGAATATGTACAGCCTACTAATGAGGTTAGCGCAAGCAATGTTTCAGTCTCTTCCCCTGAACCTTCTAAAATGTCTTCCAGTAATTCTCGAACTAATTCACGATCTAGAAGTCCCTCGCCTGTCAAACATATTACTACTGTTGTAGTTACTCCAGATTATGGTGATGAGGATGTAGATGATTTAGGTAGTAAGAGTTATTCCGAAGTGCGAAAAACTACAAGTATTATGAGAGAAGTTGAAACATTCATTGAGAAAGAATCTAGTTCGATGGAGAAGAAAGTATTCGAGCTGCCATCTGAAGGGTGGATGCTTGCCGATGCTATTAATCAGAGATTATTCGATCCTATCACAGGACTCTTTATCATTCCTGGTACAGACAGACTCGTTTCATTTGAAGAATGCGTTAAACTCGAAATCATTAATCCCGATTCAGCAGTCGTTATTGATCCCAATAATGGTAGGAAGATTTCGTTACTTAGAAGTTTAGAGAAGAATATTTTAGATTCAACCGGGCATTACACACATCCTCATAAAATCTCCATGAAAGAAGCGATCAACAAGGGCTTAGTTATTTTAGACGATAAGATGACAGATGTCGATGTGAAAAATTCTCGACTCATTCAGATTACGAAAGTATCAGGAAAACCGGATAAGGTTGAAGTTAGTGGTGTAGAATTGACCTCCGAGGGACAATTCACATCTGATCCGGTTCAGGTTACTCAGGGTGTCATTTATGATCCTGAAACAGCTCTGGTTATTTTCACTGAAACCGGAAAATCTGCTAATATTTTAGCAGCTGTTAACGAAGGTGCCTTAGAACCTGAAGCAGTAGTCGTTAGAGATCCTCAGACAGGTAAGGAAATCAGTCTCAGTGAGGCTGTTGACAAGGAAATCGTGGACCCACGAACGGGTGCTTACCTTGATAATACCGGTCGGAAGATTTCATTAGCAGACGCGGCTAAATTCGGTCTGATAGCAGTTGTGGGGACACCACTGGTGGCTGCTGCTGCAGCTGTCGAGGCTGTGAAGAAAGCCATGATCAAAGACCCGAAGACTGGTGAGAAAATCCCTAGGGAAGTCGCAATTGAACGCGGGCTAGTTACACCAGATCAAGTCATAAGTCATTCAGAGATCGTCACGACTAGTGTCACAATCAAAGATCCAAGAACAGGGAAGGAAATACCTGCAATGGAAGCTCTTGAGAAAGGACTCATAAAGCCAGACCAGATCAACAAGATGGTTACAAAGGCAGAACCAACGACAGTCTCTGTAAAAATGGCTGGGGATTCAAGGAATTCATCTGAGGAGGCCAATGACGTGGGACCAAGCATAACTGAAGAGACACGAGACAGCGTGACCACTGAACCGAAATACATGGTAACGATAGGGAAATCTCAACCCATTTCTCAAAGCCCTGAAAGAGAGGCAAAACCTATAATTCTTCAGAAAATGAGAAAGCGAATTGTTGAGCCCCAGGAAGCTCTAGACAGTGGATTAATTGACAAAGAAACTTTGCATATATTAGAGCCAATTATGGAAGAAGCTAGTGAATCTGTGAGGGAAGCTATAAAAAATAACAGAATCGATCCGAACAGTGGGAAGATTATAGACCCCCAGACAGGCGATGCTTTGACCATCAAGAAGGCTCTGGATCGAGGGCTTTTGGATCCAGAAAGCGGAAGTGTCCTAGTGCCTCTAGCTAAGAGCTTATCAGTCCCTGGTCTGTATAATCAAGGCCTTCTAGATCCGCACGAAGGCACAGTGATTCATCCAGAAACTGGCCAGCACCTTTCACTGAACGAAGCCATCGTCTGCGAAATTGTTGACCCACAATCACAACTGGTTCATCACGATGGAAATCACATATCGATTGAATCGGCGATTGCAAGAGACATCATTGATCCTGATAACTCCCTCATCCAGACAGAAGAAGGTGATGTCAACCTTGTTGATGCTGTCGAGCAAAATAGATTCGATACAACTGAATTCACGAGTCCCATGTCATTGCCACCTGTTGGAATGACTTTCCCAGTTGCCTTAAAACGTGGTCTAGTGGATGTATCGAAGAGAGAAGTGACTCATCCAATAACCGGTGATCATTTGTCTTTGGATGAAGCGATTGAAAAGGGTCTCATCATGTCCGTTCCACATCCAGCTGCACCTGATTGTATAGAAGTAACAAAAGCCGCTGAGGCTGGTCTTATAGACGATGATAAGGGTGTTTTTATTCATCCAAAAACTGGTGAAGAAATTCCTATATCAGAAGCCTTTGAATCTGGAGTTCTAATTGTTAAAGCGAAACCTGATGATGACGTGGTGACAGCTATCACGGAAACAATTACATCGTACCATACTATTACTACTAAAACTGTGCAGGTGCAGCCTGGTTATACTCTCCTAAATGCCAACGAAATTCAGAACACAAAAACTGGGGAAGTCATCTCCATGGAGGACGCTGAGAGACAGGGGATTGCCACAGACGAGTCTGAGACACGAGAAGAATTACCAACTAGAGATATTAAAATGGCATTCAGTGACGCAGTTGAGAGAGGTCTGATTGACATGAATGCAGGAACATTTAAAATTCCAGGAACTGACGATGTGATACCCATCGCGAAGGCTATAGAAGATGGAATCCTTGATACATCTCAAAGTTCAGTGACTGATTCCCCGAAGAAAGGCTCGACTACCAGCTTAACTGTTCTTGAAGCTGTTGATCAAATTTACGATGAGAAGACTGAGAAGTTCATCGATCCGACGACCAATAAATCGTATGATCTGACGGAAGCTATCGACGTAGGTCTCATAGAATCAGACTCTGTTGTCTACGATGTAAAGTCGGGGGCTCCAGTGACAACGGAGGAGGCGATTGAGCGAGGAATTCTCGATGCCAAAACTGGAAAAGTGAAAGATGCAAAGGGAAGTTCAATTTCTGTGGCGGAGGCTGCGAAATTGGGACTTTTAGCTGTTGTTGCTGCTCCAGTCCTCGCAGGTAAAGTTGTCGTTGACGCTATCAAGAACAGAAAGACAAGTGATAGACGACCAACAATGTCACCTGTTCAAGAAGCCAGTCCCATTCATCAGCAACAAGTCGTTGAAAGATCAACAGTGAGAGATGAATCGAAGCTTACGACAGTCACTGAGAAATTCATTCAAGCGGAGCAGATGAGAGCGAAGGAGTGGGAGCCAATTCAAACGACAATGGAAGAGGCTATCGATAATGATCTCATTGAACCTGCGAACTGCAGAATGATCGTTGGGCAGAGAGAATCCCCAATGAGTGTTCATGAAGCACTGGAACGACACGAAGTCCGTTTGAATGAGCAAGTAATCGTCATAGATCCCACAACTGTTTCTCTCCTCGAAGAAAGACCGCGATTCAAGATCGAAATCACACGGTACTTGACTCCAGAATATCTCGCTGACCAAGGTGTTTATGACCTGGAAACTGAAAAATTCTTGAATCCGTACACCGGATATCCGATTAGCTTCCAAGACTTTGTACTTGGCCTGGAGATCTTCGATCCCGACCGTGTTTACGTGAAAGATTTGTCGAGCAAGACTGATTCGTATGTATCCCTCCGTGAAGCAGTTAACCGTCCACTAGTCGACAGAAATCTTGGCAATATGGTTGATCCAAAGAGCGGCAAGAAGATTCCTTTCCTGGAAGCCACTAAACAAGGCCTTATTTTCCAACGAAGTCCCATAAACGAAGACGAATTTTCATCTCTGACGCTGCAAGAAGCGATAGAGTCTGGAATATGTGATTCTATGAGTGGTACCTTGCAGGATCCACGTACTGGTGAACATTTGTCAATCGTTGATGCAGTCGAAGGGGGCCTGATTGATGCTGAGTCCATCAGCATCCGTAATCCAGCGAATGATGAGATAATCCCACTCGCTGAAGCAATCGATTCAGGAATAGTCGATCTAACTCGTGGAGTGATCATCAACGTGGAAACGAGAACAGAGATTGACCTAAAAGTAGGATTTTCAAAGGGTCTCATTGTATCTGCTCTGCGTAAGCCCATTTCACTCGAGGCCGTCATCAACAAAGGCCTCTACGATCCTGACTCCGGACAAATTCAAGATCCAATGACAAAACAACCCATAGATATCGAAGAAGGAGTTCGCAGAGGAATAATTGACGCCTTCATAACAGAGTGCCAAGACACCAAAGCAGGCTCACTGCTTTCCTTGGACGACGCACTATCAGTGAAACTTATCAACCCAAAGACTGGAAGACTACGTGATACTAAAGCCGGAGAGTTGCTTCCTCTCGACGTGGCTCTTGCCAAAAAGCTAATAATCACAACGCCGTTTGTGCCTTCACTGATTGATGTTATAGTCCAAGAATATTACTCCCCAAAAACTGGTCTCGTCCTCAACCCCATGACTGGAGACGAGATGACTGTAAAGGCAGCATTATCAACTGGTTTTGTTGATGGTCGGATGATAGCTGTAAAAGACGAGAGGAAAGATGGAGTCGTACCTCTCCAAGAGGCCGGAAATTCAGGTCTCTTAGATCTCGACAAAGGGGTTCTAGTCTACCCTCATCCTATGATGCTTGACCAGGCGCTGGAAAAGGGTTACATCCTAAGTACAATGAAACCATGGACCCTTCAAGAAGCTCTAGCCCACCAGGTATACTCCCCAACAAGCGGAATGTTCACCATCGAAGGTGATCGATTAACCCTAGAGCGAGCGATCGCAAAAGGCCTCATCAGTCATGACAGTCCTTCTGTGAAAGATCCCAGAACTGGAGATGTAATTTCCCTGAACGACGCCATTAAACTCGGATTAATCGATCCCAAATCGGGCACAGCCTTAGATCCATCCACGGGTACAGCCCTATCCCTGATAGATGCAGTTGACCGCGGTTTGGTGGTTCCAGCGAAACGCAAGATTTCATTGCCTGAAGCGATCTTCAAGGGCTTCTATGATCCAAAAACAGGACAGTTCACTAGCTTCGGCACAAAGGAGAAACTTCCGACGGATCGCGCTATCAAAGAGGGAGTCATCGACCCCACATCAGCTATCGTCAAAGACCCTAACGGTGATGTAATCACGTTCTGCAAGGCCATTGAGGCTAAAATCATTGATCCAAAGACTGGGACAGTAACCACAGAAGAAGGAAAGTCTTTAGACTTCCAAGAGGCGTTTGAACAAGGCGTTCTACTTGAAGCCAGAAGACCAATGAGCTTCAGTGAGGCTGCACTCAAGAGCGTTCTCGACGTCAAAACAAACTTGTTCCTGGATCCAAAGACTGGAGCTTATTTGACAATAGCTCAGGCCATTGATCGTAATCTGATCGACGCTGGTTCAGTATTCGTCCGGGATAGTAACGTGGGAATCTCTCAGAAAACAAGTCTCCCTGACGCGATAAAAACAGGACTGATTGACGGCACCACTGGACGAGTCAAAGACGTAACAAGAAACAACCTCGAAGTATCTCTGATTGAGGCTTATGAACTTGGTCTGATTGTCGATAACAAAGCACCGATATCCGTCCAGCGAGCGATCCACCAAGGTCTGTACGACGACAAGACCGGGAAAATTATTGATCCCAGCAACGGTCGAGCAATTACTCTGCACGAAGCCATGCGAATGGGCATCATCAATCCCAAATTAGTCTGCTACTGGGACAAACGGGGAGAATCTCTCCTGTCCCTCGCGGAGTCATGCAGGGCGGGCATGGTAGACAGGCGTTCTGGAATGTTCAAAGAACCGGGCGCTCATTACCCTATTCCTCTTTCGCTAGCCCTCCAACTGGGGTTGATAATCGATATTGAAAGCGCCGGTTTTAGCTTGTACGAAGCAGTTCACATGAAGATGTACGATGCTTCGACTGGCAAGTTCACTCATCCTTCGAGTAACAAACGACTCACATTATCCGAGTCCTGTCAGGTAGAGCTGATAAATCCTCTCATCTCCATCGTTAAGAATACCCAAACGGATCGGTATATTCCGCTGTCCGAAGCAATTGCCGCGGGCATTGTTGACGATATTCGAGGGACGTATGCTATTCTTGAACTTGATGAAGTCATGGACTTGAAGGAAGCTAAAGACAAAGGTTACATCGTTCCGTCGCATAAGCCACTGTCAATTGAGGAGGCAGTGAAGTGCGGATTGTACAGGGGAGACAGTGGCAAATTCGTTGATCCATCAGCCAACGAGTTTCAAGATTTGGTTCAGGCTTTCAGTTCAGGTCTTTTAGATCCGGACACAACTGCCCTGAAGGACGCCACTTCGGGGCAGATAAAATCTTTGCAAGAGGGCATCAGTGATGGGACGGTTGATGCCCCTAAGGGGCGCATTCTCGATCGTAAAACAACGCGTTCGTACAATATTGACATTGCGTTAGAGCGGGGGTTACTAGTTAATATCGATAAACCGTTGATGCAACAGACACAACGAAAGACGTCTATCGAGCTTCAGAAATCGGGAGTCAGTAAAGGTGTCAGAGAATGTAGTATCGAGGAAGCCGTACGGTATGAGCTTCTAGACCCAGCGAAGTCGTTAGTTAAAGATCCAAAAAGTGGAAAGTTTATCTCTTTGAGCGAAGCGTTGAAACACGATGTTGTCGATTCTTCCAAGAGAGGAACATTCGAGGCCCAAAGTGGAAAGTTACCTCAGCAATTGATTCGTTTCGAAGACATTAACGTTTATCTGGCAGAGCCATTGAGCCTAGACATAGCTGTGGAGAAAGGCTATCTGATTCTCGAGACGGCAAAATTGACAGAGCCAAAATCAAACGAAGAATTGACTCTGAAGGAGGCAGTAACTCTCGGTATAATCGATCCCGACTCGGCCCTGATTAAAGACGTTAAGAAGAAAAAATTAGTTAAACTACCCGAGGCATTCAGAAAGGGCATGATGGATGGTGAAAAGGGAAATGTTTTGGACACCGAAACATCAAAATTATATACCCTGAAAAAAGCCGTTGAGACTGGCTTGTTGACAACCCAAAAGCGTGGAATACCGTTTATTGAAACCCTACAATTTGGCCTTTACAATCCCACAACCGGTTGTTTCAATGATCCATTCATGATAACATCCGTCGTAGATCGTAAACCCTTGACACTGAGTGACGCGTTAGAGTCAGGCTTAATAGATCCCTCCACAACCGTGATTAAAGACCCCGTTAATGGAAATATATCGAGCCTACTTGAAGCCATAAATGAAGAGAATGTAGATCCCATTGCTGGAAGATTGCGCAATGATCCTGATGACAAAGACCTTGACTTTGTGGTAGCCTTGGAAAGGGGTTACGTACTCGCAGCTGAGGCGAGGGTAAGTCAACGTTTTATCCCCAAAACCATTGTTTTCTAATAGCTTGTCAAAGCAGGTTACGGTTTTTTCTGCATTTTTATATGATTTTTGCTTCAAAATTTTATACCTTTTGTTTTCTTACCCTTATACAATGACACACAAGGGTTTTCCTCATTCCTGACTTGAGAGAGAACGATACTCAATCATTGACGAGCTTGGTGGCATGGTCCTTGCATGGACCTACGACGTTTCGTTGGCATGAGAAGGTCGATCATCGCGGCCATCGGCTTTCTGAACTCAAATCAATATGTACCATCATCTGCCACTTTGACATTTTACCACACTCTACCCCGCCCCCTTATCCGTTATGAAATTTTGGATTTTCAGTAATGAAATTTCTTGGAATTTCAGTCACAAATTTTGAACAGTGCATTGAATTCAATTTAGGGGGTGAATTAACGATAGAATTTCAAAATCGAGTGAGTTTTAATCAAATTTATATGATTTGTGTTTATATGAAACATCCATTCAGTACCTAATTGCAATCATTTAAAAATTATAGAATATATTCACTTGAATTTTCATGAGATAATTGAATTGAAATTTACAATTCAATGAAATTCTAAATGTTTAAAAACTCGAAAGACGAGAATTTCGAATTGAAACATCCATTCAGTACCAAATTACAGTTTTCAATCAGTGCAAAATTCAAGAATATATTCATCAGAATTTTCTTCATTTCTATCAATTTTCAGGTCATAATTGAACTGAAATTCACAGCTTCCATTAATGTCTTTATGAAATTTTGGATGTACAGTTACGAAATTCCTTGAAATTTCCTTGGGACGGTTACTCACTAAAAATTTCCAAAAAACGTACCAAAAATTGCAGCCAAAAATTTTCAACAATGCATTGAATTCAAATCAGGGGGTAAATCAACGATAAACCCCCTGATTTGAAACGACTGAGATTTCAATGAAATTC